AACGCTTGAAGATGGAATAGAGCTTAGTACTTTAATTCAATTTAATTCAAATAATTATATTGAAGTTTTCGGCTTGTGTTTTGAAACTTGAAAACTCTTATGTAGCGTGTTGGAAACATATTTTTTAAAAAAATATTTATATATATATATATATATATATATATATATATATATATATATATATGCAGCACCATGGCCGATTTATCAAGAAGGTGACTTCATTTTTATCAGTCTGGAGGAGTCGATCCCAGCTTGTGGCATATTTGGAAAGTATCTGAATACCATAAGACGGTTTGACCCAACCCTTTTGAGTGAAATTGGGTAGAAGGAACCCTTGGGTACTGTCGATAGCCATGTTAGTGCGAAGTCACACGTCATCGTGGCCGAGGGCATGAGCGTGCTGGCCATGTTCAAATTGTTGATCACGCTAGATAACACGCTCTTTCCCAGAAACTGTAACTAAGGTCTACTCAGCACAGTTGCAGTATAAACCACAGGTGGGCTCTGTGGGTGTTGAATAAACGCAAATGCGCCTGAGCAAGCGTCTGCAACAGGGATTGGCTAGCCGCCCTAGTAGATGGGGAACCTCGAATACGAGTGGCCAGCCATACAATATACAGCAGCATATTTTCATTCAAATAGATTTGTTTAAATAATTTGGACATCATGTCGAATAGTTTCCATTGATCCTTTCAACCTCACGAATTAATTTCTTGGTAGCCTTAAAAGGTAAAAACAATTTGAAAGAAGATTCTGGTATTTTATTTTTCCATGGTGACCAAGAAATTATTTCGTGAAATTGAAAAGAACACAGTGAAAACTAATCGATATGATGTCTGAATTATTTAACCAAACCTGTCTGAGTATATATATATATATATATATATATATATATATATATATATAGTCAAACATAGGAGCCAGACAAACCTACCCAGATTTCATCTAAGCGGATCATCAGGGAAAGCTTCCCTGATGATCCGCTTAGGTGAAACCTGGGTAGTTTTGTCTGGCTCACTAGGTTTATCTAGATCTGCTCTACGGTTGTATTGAGCTCTTTTTAGTTAGTTGTTTACTCGTGTCGGGTTTTTTTCTTTGGGCTTTGAACCTGTATCTGTGCGATTTTTTCGACAGACTGTCATGTTTCTCGCTCTTTCTTTTTTAAAACCTTTTTTTTCTTCGAGATTGATTTGATTATTGGCAAATCAAAAATTCGAAGGTTTTTCGAGACGGGTATAGTTACCTATATATATATATATATATATATATATATATAATGTTTGTATAAAATGGTACTGCGATTAAGGTTTTTATTCAATTTTTCTTGCGTTGGTGTCAGTGGTTTCTTTACTGGACATAATGTGCGTAAAAACTGTTCGAATGTTTTATATATTCTAACATTTTCGGCTCCTCAATTAGCCATTATCATGTATGCTGTTTTTTTTTTAAAGAATGTGTATATTTTTACGTGTTTTTATCTATGTTTCTCTGACCCTAGTACAATCCTTCATACACACGTAATCCTACAAAATTCCATTCAAGTATAACTTCTTTATCCACATAAATAACAAATAGAAATAATGGAAACACAAA